GTAAAAAAGGGTTATCCATTTTCATATTTTGTTGACCAATCGTTACCTAGACATATACACAAATGCAGGGTTAAAAACAATAAGTGCACCACCCCACAGGAGTGGAGATAAATCCTTTTATTTACACTGAAGACAAAGCATAATACAGTATATACAGATTTTGCAATTACGATAACTAAATACATGTAATAACATACACTAGAATAAAATACATCAGATATGATAAGGTGGTTTGAAGAAGCTCAACTTTTTTTTCCCCCCTTCTTTCGGTACTTTCGGTAATTTACAGCGCTGTGTGGAACCGAAAAAGAACTTTAATGTTCAGAATCATTTTATATAGCTGGTATCTTTTCACAACACAGGCTTCATTGCACTAAACATGTTCATTCATGTCATGTTTGCCACAACTTGTCCAGAGTCGGTCATGAGCTTGTCAATTCACAATAGCAATTAGTCAAAAGCTAACAACCACCTAATGAGCACCACAGAAAAATTTGGCAAAACTTTCTAAGTAATTTACTCAAAAGAAGCAAGATCTTATGATGATAAAGGTGTTGAATGTTGGCAGCAATTGCAAGACTGGAATTGATGCTGGAAAGTTTTGTGTTTTTTTTTTATTGTTTTCTTTTTGTCAATGTGTTGTCAAAACAGATTCACATGAAAATGATTTCACTTATAAATGCATTCTTGATTGATAGATCAAGATATATTTACATTATTGCAGAGATTCTGTCGTGTCACGAGTAGTTTCACATTCACAGTCGTTACCGAATCACATCATGTACATACGAGATGTTCATGAATATACATTTTCCATGTGAGCACTTTAATTCTCATCTATCCCGTGAAAGGTCCAAACCATTCCTTCCTCCAGTTTGTACGGGTGCTATTCTGGTAATGCAAACAGTTATACGGAAGAACAATACTCTCTCGTTCTTTGTCTGTGTCTTTGTAAATATATCAAAATATATAATATTTGTTGTTTTGAAAGAAGGATGCTAGTGTATTTATTATCGACTGAGAACTTTTTCCATCAGGAAGTAAGTGACAAAGAAGAAGGCCACTAAGAAGAGAGTGATGTAGCACATAAGTTTCCGGTTTCCTCTTCCAGACTGGATCATTCCTTGTACTCTTTTGAAACTTCCACCGAGTAGGCCATGGGTGCTGTCAAATTCATTGTCCTATAGAGGAGAAAGAGTAAACTGGACATAATTTCTCAGGTTTTCAACATTTAACACTACAAAACACACTGCCCCTCCCTCCTTCTACCTAGCTACTGATCACTTTGAGCAAATAGTGAAAATTATTATTCCACATGTTAAATACATTAAATAGCTAGTGTTTTCAAAAACAATAACAAGCTCCAATTGTGTTGTAGTCCCAAGTCATAACAAATAGAGATATTTTGAAAATTAAAAAAAAAAAAAATTTTTAAATTTAAACAAACAAAATTACAGTCTTCATTTTCGAGGTTTGAAATTCAGTGCAGATCTAACTATTTTTTTTTCAATATATTTACATAGTTCTCCACTCTTATCATTGTGAAAAACATTTAAATTCATTAAATAGGAAATTGATGCGCGTAGGAGGGATACCCTTTGAACCGACAGACGAATATGATTACAGATGCATCACTTTATGCCCATGCCTCCAGTGCGTGATATAGCAAGCTGTGCTGGATGCTGTTGTAAATACACAATACATAACAAATGGTCTGGGTTTGTACACTCCACGCAAATAACAGCCATCTGGTGCCACCAGCTTAACCCAGATTATAGAACGGAAGTATCAGAATATGCAATCTTGACTGAATATTCAAAAGCAATGAATTCAATACATGCAAAACCAAAGATGATTTATTGGAAATTTTTACACTTATTATTTTCAAACAACATGTAAGCATGGATGCAGTTTTTTGTTTTTTTTTCATTCATTTTGATTATCTGTGAAGGATTTCAGTAGGCAATGAGTTAATAAATTTGTGTTATTCACTCCTTGTTTATGCTGTTAATAAAGTGTGCATGGTAATTTTGTAATAATTTTGTATAATTGCTTCAAACAATTTTTCTTTAAAATATAGAATAAGTCTTCACTATCA